ACAAGTATTTGTAAATGTCTGTGCACTGAACAACAAAACATAAACCTATGCAGTTACGAAATATTATAATTTTTTTTTAAATATTCACCTCAAGTTGAATTTCCTGAATAAGAAGTAAGTGTTCCATATCTTTATCAGGTTGTTTAAAACATGCAGACCTTAATGAATAAATCAAATAGTATTTTTTTCTATTGATTTCCCATGAAAAAGGCAATTTCAATAAAAGGTTTTACAATAATTAAATAACTTTTCTTGAATGGTCCTGAGATTTACATATCACTGTAATTCATTAGAAGCATGTTCATGTGAGAAATTTTCTAATTGTAGTCTACAAAAAAAGTTCATCAAAATCTGCCATAAAGCCTAAAAACCGGTTTAAATAATACCCCTGTTGAACTGTAATTAAATCCATAATATGAACAGTATAATAAATGCTTGGTAATATAACTGAAAAATTCTGGAAAATGCATAAAATTCACTATGAACCAGAGAATTAATGAACATTTCCCAATAACTATTGCGTTTTCCAACTCTCAGGAACATTCTTATTTAACTGAACAATTTCATTATCAAAATTTACTTTAGACAAGGCAAATGTTTCCAAACTTATATTTAGTCTCCTCTGCCATTAGACTAATGTAGAGCAATCTGACTCCATCAAACAGGATAAAGGACACCAGCATCAAAAGATTAAACAAGTTTGAAGTAGAATTTATGGAAACTTGGAATAAGAATACAAGAACTGTCATAGCAAAGGTGTTAACAGAGAACTCAGCAAACAGGTGTATGAAATCTTACTAATTACTATTGAATTCTTGCTACTTGCTACTTAGCTTAGTTAAAGGGAACATTTTACACAATGTATTTAATCAGTTATTCTAGCAATACAAAATCAAATTTTACAAACTAAATATGAATAAAAAATATTTAAATATTTCAATGAACTAAACTAAACATTTTTCATTTATAACTTATTTGCGATAGAAAATATGTTTTGGCTAGATTAATGCATCCTACCATTCACAATTTGAATTTGGCTTGTCATTCCCTGAATCTTATTTATAAGTTTGTTCAAATTAATTTGTTCTAGGTCAAAATTTTTGCTAATTTCCAGGCCTAAAATAGTTAGTTTGTCAACGACTGTAAAACCAGTCACCCTTATCATATCTACTATATCTTGTGAAACATTAAAATGTAATATATTTGAGTCTTGTCAATGTTTGTGATTAGCCTTGAATGTTTACTAAAGTCATCTAAAATTGTTTTACAATTGATAATAATTTCAGGTTCTCCGTCAACGAGAATGAAGACGTCATCAGAGATACTACTGTTGTCAATTTTTTCACCTGTCTCTAAAACTGGGTGTAAAATGCTCACATCAAGAGCCAATTTCTAGAGAAGCAGTTCTAATGCAAGGATGAAGATAAGACATAAAGGTGAGTCCCCTTGTGCAACACCACAGAGTATCATGAAAAAGAAATACTTCCAGATTCTGCCATTACTCCAGCTCTCTTATTGTTCATTGTTGTTTGACAGTTTTAATCATACAATCTGAGTAATTAAAGAATTTTAAAATTTCAATGATATATTCATGGTGAGAAGCTGTCAAAGCCTTCCGAAAGTCAATGGCTAGAAGCTTTAATTTAGTATTCTCCTTTTTTCCTTTCTTTAAACACTGTAGAATATTCATTAGCGGCTTGTGTATAGCTTTTGACTTAGAGTTGGCCTTTTGTGAATCAGATGTGTTTAAGTCAATAACATGGTTTAACTTATTTGCAACTTATTTAGAGTATATCTTACATATGTTGCTTTAAAAGGTTTATTGGTCTCCAATTTTTTATTTGTTTACAATTCCCTTTTTAAGGCTATAAGTTTTATGCTAGTAGTCCTAAGATTAGAGTATAGTTTTTCTTTTTCAACCATTACTTCAAAACTATTTGCAATTCAATGTCCAATTAGGGGCCACAAAAACTTGATCATGGCAAATGTAAACTCATCCAACCCCTGGACTAGAGCCTAATTTTGTCTCATCCAATGCTTTTGTTAGTTCATGATGCAAAATTGGGACGTTATCCCTGGCTGAATCAAGATTTGAACGTTTTTTTGATGTCCATGTCTAATACCTGTAATTTATTACAGGTTTGAAATACAGATTTTTTTTGTGTTTGTGACTATGGAAGTGTAGTGGAAAGAGAGGATGTAAATCAGCTTTTGAGCACCTATTGACCCTTCACTGGGATTATCAAACTTAGATCAATGAATCGACCATTTACCAGGATTATCAACCAATCAACCCTTTACTGGGATTTTTACTTAGATCAACCTTGAGGCCCCTTATTTCTTCTACAAGTATATATATCTGCATACTTGTAAATGTTTCAACATTGCAAGACTGTATTATTTGAAAGTTTGCTTTTATTAAACGCTGCAATAATTGTATTATGAGAGAAAATAACTGAACCGATTTTTTTTGTACATTTTTGTTTGTTTTTGTGTATAAATCTTCTCTTAGGGTCAAAATGTTGTATAGTCTAAGGAAACCAAATATTAAGAATGAAGAATTTAAAAATTTGTAAAACTTCTCAGATTTAATTGTGCAACTTTTAAAAAGACCAAAAACCTGTAGTTAAAAAAAAAGATTTTCACATTATTTTTATTATAATATGATGCCGGAGAAAGGAGGAAGGGGTTACCTGCCAGAGGAGAAAGCAATTTTGTCGGCCATCTTAAGCCCGATACAAAGTCAGCGCCAGCACAAAGTATCTGAAGAGATGAGTCAAATGGAAATATTTTGGCCCCTAGGCAAATTTCATATTGTATGAACCGAGTTCAATAATGTGTAGATGAAGCAGGAACCGAGTTTAAACCAGGAAGATTATCTGAATTGTACTTAAAGAAGGAGTTGGAGAATATACTTCAGTCCCGCATACCATCTAGCGGGGTTCACATACACTCTATATTTGGCAATGTTTTTATCAATTGGAATAAAATATACAATAATAATAGTATCTTTAGTTGTGCTAGTTGGCTAGTTATGCATTTAGGTACCTTCCCACCTACCAGACTTTTGTCAGGTATAATATGTATTTAGATCAACTTTAGTTGGTCCAACACTAATTGTTTGTATAGTTATTAAATAAATATATTGTGTGTGCAACCATGCTTTGTTATTTCACTCAATCTTGGCTTTTCAATAATAAGTTCTTTTCAAGTCTATACTAGGTTTCATTGAACTGATGAAAAAATCCTTTTTCTTGGAATTATGAATACAATTTGCAACGGAATCTGTAAATTTAATACAAATCAGAAAAAAATACTAAAGAAAGATTTTTCAATTCTATTCATACAAATTCTATTCTGTTGTAATATGCATCCGTAGTACGCATATAGTCATAATTATAACTATATGGATCCATTTTCAAGTTAAAGTTTTGTTTTTATAATGTTTACTTTTCTTTTTGATTGGGTCAATTTTAATAGATCGTTGTTTTTACTGAACGAAAGAATTTTTTGTATAAATAAAGAAAAACCTTTTTATACTGAACAAACCATTCTTGACAAAATTTTTTTTACTGAACGAACAATTTTATTGAACGATTTAACTGATTTTTTTTGAACAATTGAAACAAAAACTAAAATAATTGGTTGTTCACAAATGAAATGAAAAAATGCTGAACATGCCCATCTTTAACCTTGACAATATAATAATCTAAAATAAAATGTTTACAAATAATTTGCATAACCTAGTGATTATTTACCAAACAAGATATTCAAAATTATGTTTGAAAACATATTTACGATGTATATATAAGTAGGGTATGGGCTATTTTATCAATTTATGTAAAGTAGTAATCTCTGTTTGGGTTACTGTCTTTTTTTTGTTTGTTTGTCCGATCATAACTCATGATCCCCTTGATCGATTTGCCGCAATTTTAGTTTGGGTGGTTCTTTAGCACATTGGCCAAAGAAATAGAGGGTTTTAGAGCGTGGATTAAAAATTTCAAGTTGAGTGGGATAATTTTACAGGGAAATCTACAGTTAAAGCTGGGTTTCCAAGTAACTTATATTAAAGGCATTTAATGTTTAAAGGTGCAATACTAAAGCACAATTTTTTAAGGCCAGTTCATTAATAAAATGTCCAAGGTTCGGTTGCTATGAAGTGTAAAAATTTTGCAAATAAGTTGAGGAATATATTGTTATTGACAAATAAAAACATGTTTTTTGATTCATACAAGAGCTTAAAAAATGTTAATATTAGATCTGTAGCTAGAAGAGCAAACATGTTATGGGCTATAATTTTCATAAAAATTAAAATGATACTGCCCTTACGACAAAATTTGTGAAAAAACTTAATACAATATCTGAAAAGTCAAGCAATTTCAAGGTGAAACAAATAGATTAGGGCGCCAAACGCCCCCCCCCCCCTCTCCAGTCTGTTATGGGTTAATACATTAATTGAAAAAGGAATAACAAACCCAGTCCTAATCTAAGTACAGAGTATAATTAATCATACATTGTGTCTATTCTATAGAACTTAAAACATCTAGAATATGGAATTATTGAATACACTTCTAAGGGTTTTCATATATTACAGTGGTTCCCATTAACAGAAAAAAAGACCCATTTTATTAAATTAGCGATTAGTAAGTAAGTATGTTACCATTAATTTATAAAAAAAACCTACAAAATTAAGTGTTTAAGGAGAAAATATATGAAAACCTCCAAAAATAGAGGTTGTGGGAATAGTTCCCCCCAATACTAAAAAAAAAATTGTCTGGAAAAACGATTGACCTTGTAAGTTGTGAAAACATCAAATACACATTATTACACAAGTATTACAATAATATTCTCCTCCTCTTCCATTTTTTTCTGGTTATCAAGGTAGTTTTATTACGGAATAAATTCTGTTAGATTTTTATAGCTCCTAAACAGAACAAACAATGAATAAATTTTTCCTTATCTCGTTTCAAGAAATAGTTTAGTTTTATGATAATTTAGGAGTTAAACTTTTTATTCACCCTTCAGTTTTAAACAGACCATATTGAAGTGTACATAAGCTGTACAATGTTCCTACACGGCTAACTTGAGAGTAAGAGGTGATTAGGATTTCTTGTAAATTATTTTGATTATAATTAATTTTTATCATGAATTTATTAACAGTTAACTATTCATCCTTTATAAACTTTTTCTAAAATTATTCTTTTTTCCAAAATTTGTCAAAGTAAAAATAAATACGTTGTCTACATATTTTAGTTTTTAGACTTTTTTCACCACCTGGCACCCAAACCATTAATGTATATACTTTTGTTTTAATAAGCTGGGCTTATAAGGATATGGAATGGGGTCATGCATCACACTCCCCTATCTCACATCTAAGTGCAATATAAATGGTGGGTAACCATGCTTTGTGGGTAACCCTGTATAAATAAAAACTGCGTAGACATTTTAAGAACTGCCTGTGTCACGTTAAATAAGGCCCGGACAGTCAGCCTATAATTATTTCTGAGAATTAATATGTATTTTATTTATTACGGAATTGTTTCGTATTACGTAATTTCGCGTAATTACGCCTTAATTACGAAAAACTAGACTTTCTTTCGTAAACGTAATAAACACGTAATTACGCGTAATGCCCCTGCATAAGTGAAAGAAAGTGTTACGCGTAATTACGCGTAATAACGCGTAACGTAATTACGACTAGAAACCCTATCAGGATATAACGTTACACCGGTAAGAAGAATTGGCACACTATTCACTGCGAACTAGACAGACAGAATTGGAGAATGTTATTGTTATGTAACACCATTTACAGGAACGCCCAACTCAGATATTCACAAATTGTGTACTGTCTGTGGGAGGAATGTAAACAAACCTGCAGTGCCCCCACAGAAGTTCGAGAGAAAGGAAAAAATGCAAATAGTTCTATAGTACAACAAATAAGCTAGGGAAAGATCAGAAGACGGTGTTTAAAACATCAAAATACATAAAAAATGTATTTAATTTTTGTAAATTTCTTGCAATTTTAAGCATAAAGAATGACAAAAATTGCTATTTTGTTAAAAACAACTGTTTGATTTTGTTTTTAACTGTCCTGATTGTTAATTACCACCCCTCTGATGGAGTAATTAGTGTCCCAAGTGTTAATTAACATCCCTCCAATGGATTAATTAGTGTCCTGAATTTTAATAACCATCCCTTCAATGGAGTAATTAGTGTGCCAAGAGTTAATTAACATCCCTCCAATGAAGTGATTAGTGTCCTACATGCTAATTACCATTTCTGTGAAGGATTAATTAGTGTCCTGAGTGTTAATTAACATCCCTCTAATTAAGAAAATAGTGCCACAAGTGTATTTGGAGTAATTAGTGTACTGAGTGTAAATTACTATCCCTTTTTTGTGGTTATAAGAATTCAATAAAAAATGTGTATTCCATTGGAAATAAATTCCCTCTGATGGCCTTCCCTCCAGCGTAGGGGACCGAATATGCTGCTGCAAACTTCAATCTCTCTTTTTCTTTTAATCTGATATATGTACTAAACTTTAATACTAGAAGGAAAAATTTCAAAAGCTAGTAATATTCATCATATTGTAAACGTTTTAATAATAATTAGGTGTGGATAGTATCCAAAACAGCGAAAGCTAATCTCTACCTAATTACACATACATATAGTAGACAATATAAAAATAGTAGCAGATTTTTTGCCTGTAACATTTTAACTTGTATGTGTATTTTAAGCAATAAATTACATCTTATCTTATCTCTTATCAGAATTTTTTATAAACTTCAAATTGTTTTTAAACTTATCAATTATTATTCTATTAAGGGTAAGTAACCAAGGAGGTTCACCAACGAAGACAGAAAGATGTTAAGTTTCTTACTAGGGGGAGGAGAGATAAAAGAGTTCACACCTACTGAAGCTGCAGAATGGTTTGCAGAGAAATATCTTCCAGATCTTAGAAAAGTAAGCGTCAAGTTCCCGGAAGAAAAGACAGATTATGGTCTTGAAATACAATCTCCAGTTGGAATGAGTACAGATGAATGGGAAAAGAAGACCGAAACAATGAATACAGAAGAAAAGGGAAAGTTTGAAACTTTTAAGACTCATTATGATGGTGCTGAAGCTGAGTACAAAGTCTGGAAGTACTTAGAAAGGATTCCAGAATCAACAAGAACAGCGGTCTTCCATAACTATAATGTCAATATGTTCCAAAGATTCACAGGTCAAGCAGAAGGAAATCAAGAATTTGATTTTTTTCTTGTATTCGGGGATATTAGGAAGATTGTTCACATAGAAGTCAAGGCTGCCTATAAGAGAGCCCCGGGTTGGGTTGATCAGCTAAAGAGAGGCGAGGAGTTCTACAAAGAAGTTCTAGCTGCTGCTGGTATAGATGGCAAGGACTGGGAGTTTATACCTATTGGAGCTTTTCCTAATGCTGATAAACAGAAGAAGGTATATATTTACTAGGATTATGCTATATTGATGGTTGACACTTGTGGATATAGATTTTATGTATTTTTACTCATATATTGACAAACTTATGCATAAGTCAAAATATAAATATATTTAGTAGTTTGGTAACCCAGCTTTGCCTGGAGTATCCCAAATAAAAGTCCCCCCACCTAACTTGGAAGTTTTAAATCAGACTAAGATCTTTTCCATGGTTCCACAAAGCTTTCAAGGTCAAGGAGTTAATCAAAACAAACAAACAAACAAAGACTTGAACAGAGAGAACTACTTTATATAGATTTAAGCTAATAATGTGTTTAGGTAAAGGGAGCTTCAACATTTTTACACAACAATCACAGTGGGAGGGTTATTACAAAGCAAGATATAACTACAGCTGGAAGCCTTGAAGAGCTTTTGGGTTTTAGGCAACAACAAAAATTCCCTATTGATGAATCATATCTTACACTGGTGAATCTTTTAATGGCATCTGCACACTGTTCTAAATCTGCAGCTTCTCTCTCCCTGACTCCCTCAGACCCTATGGAGGCAACAAAAGAGAAACTTATCGGACCAAATGGTCAAGATTTAGGTATTGGGGTGTCAAATGACCCAGGGCCTTCAAGTGTCACAGTTCCATTCTCTTCCTTGAAAGGAAAACCTGTTGGTTCTTTGGACAGCATACTTTTCTGGAACAAGAGTCAAGCTCAGTTCATGTTTCAAGATGTTCCAAGATGTTTGGTAAAAGGGGACTATGGGTCAGGTAAGGAGAATTATTGGCTCTAGTTCAAAAGGTAGAATTACAAAAAGTAGAACAATCAAAAGGTAAAACATACAAAAGGTAGAACAGTCAAAAAATATATTTTCAAAAGGTAAAATGTTTAAAAGGTAAAATTATCCAATTATTGAGAAGGAAAAAAATTTTCCAGCTTAGCCCAGAAATTTTTTTAATCCAACCTAACCCAAAAGAAGGTTATAGACAGCACTTTAAAGTTAAGAGACCACAAGCTCGGACCCCAATCCCATCCTAGCTGCAGCTCTGGGCCTAGAAATTGTCTTATCCTAACCTTACCAAACATAATGCAACATTAAAATTGGAAAATTCTAAATTTTGAATGTTCTACCTTTCGATCATTGTACCTTTTATTGTTTTACCTATTGTCTATCTACCTTTTATTATTCTTTGTTTTGTACTGGAGCCGAATTATTTATACATTTTTATCAAACCTTCAAATACAAAAAACTTCATTTAAAGCACATGAAACCCTGGTCTGTATTTTTTGAGCTTTCATAACTACTGGAGAAATGAATGATTTTGTTAAAAATGAGACAATTTTACAGTTTTATATGATAAATTGAAATCTTAATAAAATTCCTAACTAATTGGTAATTTTCAAAGCAACAAAATGGCACACTACATTTTGGAAATTGCAGGACAAGGCGTATTTTGTGATTAAAGTTTGTCCAAAATATTTCTAAAATTAGGCTGCCAAATGAATGCTGTTAGCTATTTACCTAGCTATGCTAATAGCTATTTCCTTAGCTCAAAGACACCTTTTCAAGTCTTTATTATAAAAAAATTATTCCAGTCTAGAAAGAACAGCAGTGCATAGTTTCTTCTTAACACAATTATATGTATTAGCTAACTATATTTTATGAAAAATCCATCAAATATTGTTTATAGGAAAAACTCTTGCAATCTTTGCGAAGCTTAAGTCTCTGGTGGAAAATGGATGTAAGGTTGCATTCATCTCATGCTTGCTTCCAAGGAGTATGGATAAAGATGATTATGGAAAATGGATGAATGTAACTCCTGTTGAAAAAATGGGTAAATGGCATTCATTACTTGTTGGTTCTCCTAGTGATGGTCTCACTCCAATATATGAGATTCTCATGAGAAGAAATATAGACGCATTGGGTAAAAACTGCAAGTTTTACAGTGCCCAAGAAATCTGTAAGGAAATGGGGGTTGAACGATTTGATGATACAGAAAAGAGTTTTTATTCTGTGCTTGATGGGTTTATTCAGAATCTGCCTAAAAAGTTTACAACAGTTATTTTGGATGAGTTTGGAGACAATTTGATAAGAGATAGTCCGGATTGGGATTTGGTAAAGGGCTATACAGATCCATTCTTGAAAGTAACTGATTCCTTAGCAAGGGCTAGCATTAGCAATTTGATAATAGCTCTTTATCCTGACTGTAAAATTGATAATAAGAAATTAGAGAATCAGGGATACAAGGTTACTGAGTTGAAGTATATAATGAGGAACACAGCTTCCATCTATAAATATGAAAAATCTCTAACTAAATCTGAGAGAGATGGAGTATCATCAACAGTGCTTGGTCTTCACCCTGTTTATATATCTGGTAATGGAGATGAAAATTTCTACAGGAACGTAGTGAAAGCAGTTTGTGAGAGGAGCAAGAAGTTTGTCTGCCTCACTCCAGGGGGCACTAGTTTTAGTTATGATGATGCAAAGTTTAAGGCAGAACTTTTCAGGAAAGATATAAAACCATTTGAATATCAGGCAGTAGGAGATGAGATGAACCTGGAGGAATTTCTAAAATCGCAGGAAGGTTGTCTCATCACTAGTTATGAGAATGCCAGGGGAACTGAGTGTTCAACCCTACTGGTCTTTGAGAAGGTAGAATCAGACTCCAGAAAGTTACGAGGAACTACACACCTTGTAGTTGCGCAATTAGATAGTAGTAGCAATCCTCATAGCGTGACAGAACCTGAGCCTGGTCATGTTCTTATCCAAGGAATGATGAATGATCCCTCTGTCTGGTGTAGTCTAGTAGATAAGATTGAGGAGTATGAAGGGAAAAGATACATACTACTTTTTGATTGGAAAAATGGAGATATAATATTCCAGGATGAGCTGGAAAGAAGAGGTTTACCTCTTCCTGTAACTAAAACTAAAGATACAAAATCAAACTATTCTGTGGAAGATGTAAAAACACATTTACAAGACATACCAGGCGGCATAATATACAGCAGGAAGGATATTGAGGATAATTGTCTGGATTGGTTTGTGGACAGTCGTAGACCTATTATAGTCATCTGTGAGACTGGATATGGAAAGGGAGACGTTGAACGTATTTGTGAAGGAAACCCATCCCTCTTCATAAATGTTAAACTGAGCTATACTAGGAGATAAAACAAAAAAGAAATGTTAAACACTTACTGGAGAACAACTATGTACATATTTGGATTTAAAGATTAATAAACTTTAAACCTATATTTTGTATTCCATTCTTTACATTATCTTCATGTAAGTGAACTCTCTAAAATATAGAAAGAAGACATATCTGATGATTTCTAACCATGTTCTATAACTTTGAATGTACAATTCGAAAACTTTGAAGAACAATCTAAAAATGTTTTTGAACATCTAACCAGCTTAGAAATAATCTAAAAAATCTTTTTTTTCCGAAATACTTTTTTATTTGACACCTTCACATCAAAATGTTTTTCTTACAGTGCTGTTGCTAATGTTTGTATGATGAACTGATAAATAAATAAATCATATTATATTGTACACAGTTCACCACCCAACAATTGTGCTATATGGATTATAGACAGAATTTCAAGTGATAATCCTAGAGTAGAGTTTTCAATCAGAATTTCGTTTTGCAGAATTGCTCGCAATGGTTGCTTCCGCTTGTGCCATTTCACTGCACTCAAACAAGGAAGCAATTAGATATTTGCAGATTTACACAGGATTGCGAGGAATTGTGCCGAATAGCATGCAAAGAAATTGCTTTTCCATCTTAAAATCAATAACTTTAACTGTGACTTACAAATTTATGCAGCAGATACATGAATAAAATTATTTCTGTAGATTTTAAATAATCAAGGCCTGAGTGTCTGCACTTGTTTTAATAGTTTTGAAAGGAATTGAGCCTTTTCCACAAACTCTGATTTTCTAATTCCAATAACTTTGTAAACCAATGTTGTATAGCTTAGATATTTCAAACTATGAATTCTGTTAGTTCAAATAACTTAAGTTTGAAATATCAAAAGTGTACACTATCAGGTTGCACAGATATAGGGATTTGAAAATTTGAATTTGTGGCAAAGACTCATTTCCTTTGAAAGTTTCTTGTGGTAAAGCTACTAATTAAAAATTTAATATGATACAATTTTTTTTTTCACATTGGTTTACATTAAAATGAAAACTGTATTTGGTTAAAATTGTAAGGTTCGTTTAATCAAAATTAGATATTTTGCTACAGTGAGAACCAGAAAACTATGGTACAGAAAGACAACATTACAGTTTATTTGATGTCGTTGCAAAGCAAAAAAAATAATTAGTAACTTATTAAATCACTTATTCAATTACATAGATCTGCTTGAGTCTAAAATGTTGTCTTCTTATACCAGAGTTTTCTGGTTATCATTATCCATGTGAATATTATAAAAACAAAAGATTAAATTTAAATTAAATTTTCTCATTATTTGAGACTGAAATATTAGTGGAGTTCTGTTTAATGTATACCACTACCGAAGTTTAAATTGATTTTTTTTGTTGTTGACTGAATTGGGCAATAATTAATTGCATTTATTGAATGCCATAATTGGTTTAAATTGAATAGTATCAAAAATTTGAAATTCAAACACAAGAAAGTTGGACAGAATTGCATGCTATAGCCTGCAATTGCACACAATTCTGGGGCTAAAAAACCACTACTCAATCAGGACTTAAAACTCCAGGCTAAGAAATGAAGCCTAAAGCTTTTCCTATTACTCATGATTTGATTTGGTTTGTTCCTTTAAACTGTTTATTTTCATATCAAGTTCTGTGTGAAATTATATAATAATGTTAATAATTTTGAAACCTTAAGTTACAAGTTTTAAGTATAAAACATTTATTTTCTTTAAATCTTCAGAAAACAACAAAGACATAATAGAAAATAGATGCCATGTTTGCATAATGTGATTTTTGTTAACATCAATAATTATCCAAAAATATTTCGAAAATGAAAGAGTTAGTTCATTGCTTAGGTTTGACAAAATTATCTAGTGTAACTAAGTGAACTTTTTCCTGAAGTAATAAGTACTTATACTGTATATGTTACAATAGTGCTAAGTACAGAAAGCAATGTAAATACAACGGTATTTTGTAAAGCAGCTTTATGTATAAAGGAACCACAAAGAAACTTTTGTCGCTTTTGTATAAATTGACAAGTGTGAAATTCTGACGATCTCCTTTGAAAGTGTACTTTGGGATTCGGACATGCTATATATAAATGAATGTTTACTTGAATAGCATGTATACATACAGGCCCTTTAGCATATTTTACAGCCGTATAGATTGTTTAGGGGACGAAGTAAAATTTTAGATTCATACATTATAGTTCAAATATATTCCAGTTCTCTAGTTTTCAGAATATTGAAGCTGGACAGTAAATTTGATACAAACATATTCTTTATTGGTAGTTTAGAGATGAGTGGATAGACTTCCATATTACACTGTTAGATCAAACTTTTACATTTTTTTTCGTATTTTCTATCTATTCTCAGCATTTTAAAAATTTACATGTTTTGTTCAATATTATTAACATTATGTTAACCCTGTCCCGATTGTGCTACTTTTGTCTAACATAGATTTTCCCCTTAGAGTTGATATAGGGTAGTGTGATACATGTTCCCAGTCCAAATTTTCGAGGCCTGCTCATTAAAAAAATAGACATTTAACTTTAACGGTTTGGGTGCTAGAAAAGGTTGAAAATAAGTTCATAAAGTACGTTATAAAATGTTGAAAAATAGTCATTTCTACATTTAACAAATATTGCCATGTGAGACATTTTACAGCATCCATAGTTCAAGAGCTTTTACAATAAATAACTTTCAGATCTGTAGCTTAATTATCTAAAATAGTGTTGACTATTTTTGATTTTTTGAAACACTGACATGCCGTTTGATTGTCCTTCACCCAACCATTACGGGCAGCCGTAGTAAATTTGAATTTCCGAGCCGGGTCAACCTTTCCGTTCCCAGTTTGTACTGTTTCTAGCTCTATGGACAGGACTAGCCGGTGCAACAAGGTTGACGCGGTCAGACTACTAAAGGGGCAGATTTGCGTGTCCTTTGCATAAAAAAGTTGTTTTGCCACACTTGTTATCAACTGCAGTGAACTTGAACAAGTGAAGAAGTTTGAGCGTTCTAGTCGATTTTAAGCTGCATAGAACAACCCCCCCCCCCCCTCCAATCATGATAGAGTTATAGAATTTATATTAGAGGGGAATTTACTAGAAAAAGTGTAAAACGGCCATTTTGTTGTACTGTTTCCATACTGCTGGTGTACTTTACATATTTATGCTATATAACCTTTTGGGCCCTGGAATATCATTTTATAGAAAATCTAAAATTAATGTTAAAAAGAAAACCAAATTATGAAATAGGCTGGTTTCATAATTGACCAATGATCATTTCACATAGACTCTATGCCTTTCACTTTACAAACGATCAATTTCCGTTATAACTATAAATAAAATGATGGTTTTTATTCACCTAATTCATTATAAAGTTCATTTAGCAGCTTTAAAAATTTCGAAATTGAAATGAATAGTCTAGGGAACATACTGTATTATTGTACTCTTCTGCACATAATTTGTGAACATTTACATGATTTGTACACTTTGAACTCCCTTTCACGCTGAAAGGGACTGAAAAAATCCATACCGAGAGATTCTATAAATTCCTCTCTAATATATATTTTATTCTCTATGGTTAAAGATAACTACCACGTCTGTTATTTATAAATTCTTTCTTACTGTTGTTGATATAAGGAAAAACAATGTTAAATCCGGCTTTTTTCCTTTTAACAATATTCCTTTTAACAAATTTCAAAGATTTCAGATCAAAAATCAAATCAAATTTCCTGCCAGGAAACAGGAATTGTATTCCATATTGAATTGTAATAGTATCAATCCTTTTTTTCATTTGAGGTTTACTATACATTTAAATGAGTAAACAATTAGGATTGTTTTAATTTTTGTTTTCAAAGTAAAAAATAAATAATGTTTTAACCTTGACATACTGAATCGGGGATTTTACTGGATACTGACAACTTTCTCATTACTCAATTATCTGATAAAAAAAAGATTGATTTCATTCAACATCGAATTCAATTCGGGTTTTAAAGACTATACCCCCCTTTTATTTTTTAAGAACACATACTTAGTAGATGTAAGCTAGGAAATACAAATCTTGTATCCGAGTTTCGATAAAAGTTTAGGGTATTTTATTTTTTGCGTAGAATAATTTTCGATAAATTACATGCAAAATTACTTGAATTTTAGAACTTTGATACTAAGGTAGAAATAATACCATCCTTTTATCGTTTCTTTCTAAGTGCCGTATTTGAAAATATGTCTTCAATGCTGTTCAGTATCCGGTGATATTAAACTATTTAAGTCTCCCTTTTCAGGGATTATACAACGATAAGAAATCATTGTTGTAAAAGAGACAAAAGTTTAATTAAAACTTTAAAAAACATAGATTCAGACAAATTTAAAATATATCAAAAAAATATCAACATAGAAATGTACGGAGCGTATATTTTTTTTTTATCTGTGGACGTTTTTCTATATCTGGAGAGCAGGATAATTTTTATTTTATTACTGTTTTTATTTTTTGACTTGAGAAAGGATCACAGCTACACATGGTCCCTGATTTCACCTTCTGTAAGGAAAAGGTATGATTAAATTCAGAGTCCATAAAGGTTAACGCCAATTGGTTTCCCTTTAGGGAATATATTTTTTACCGTTATATGTATGTGGGTTGATTCCTTTCTGAGATCAGCTTTATCATGGAGCAGGTTACTTGTCCGGTCATTATTTCAGGTTCTGAGCTAGCCGAATAAACAAAAAAAATCTTTAAAGAAGAAGTTTGGTAAATTTCCAGTAACGTTTATTGAACATAAACTCAAGGATTAAAGTGAACAGTTTAAGTGTTCCGTTAAGTATAATGTTTCCGAAGGATTATTAAGAATCATGGGAAGGTTGATAAAGTTGAAGATGTAATTTTTCCTCTTTAAATTATTAACAGAGATTAATACTTGACTTAGTTTAATAACTTTTTTCTTTTTTTTATGGTCTCAGCCAGGTCCCTGATTTCTTCTTCTGTATGTAGTAAAAATTGTCTAAATTATAATGCCCTGTGGTTCAGTTCAGCCATATTAACATCTTCTGAAATTTTATCTCTAAAATCTTAATCTCCAAAATATCATAATTATA